AGAAATAGATTTCGCTAGGAATCCTGCAACGAGTAGCTCATCTCCTGACTCCTCAAAGCGTGTGCACCATCTACGAGACACAAGTCAGGAGTGTAATGCAATGCTCCCTGCTTGCCTGGATGAAGGCAGCTCCAACAACACTCAAAAAGATTGATACCATCTCTGCAAAAATTCACCAAGGCTCCTTAGACAGCACCTTCCAAATCCAATCACTTCCATCTGGAAGGACAAGGGCAGCAGGATCATGGGATCCCCAGCTGATGCAAGCCCCATTCTAAGCCATTCAGGATCTAGATCAGGAAATATGTCACTATTCCTCAGCAACATTGGGACAAAATCATGGAACTCTCTCCCTAATGTCACTGTGGATGTATTTACAGCACATGGACTGCAGGAGTTTAAGAAGGCAGCTCACCACCATCTTTTCAAGGGCAACTGGGAATGGGTAATAAATGCTGGTACAGCCAGAGATGCCTATGAGTGAATTTTGAAATAAATGATTTGATCACAATTGCAATGCTGCTTTTGGGAGCGTGCTGTACATATAGTAGCAGCTGTGTTTGCAACATTATAACAGTCTGTAAAGCACTCAGGTTGTTTCAAGGTTGTAAAAGGCACTACAGAAGAATGCAAACCTGCAGGTTTTTAAAACATGGACACCTCATGCATTCTGACTAGTTAGAACATCCAACAATCTGCAGACTCTGCAGCAGGACGGCATTGACTGTCTGTTCAATGTTCAGCTAGTACCAATTTGTTGGTTGGTCCTCTTTCTTTCAAAATGGGATTCATTGGGGGCTGGTATCCCTGGGCTAGTGTGGTGCCCAGAACTGCATCCAGTACACTCACTATAGCTTCATCAAAGTTTTGTACAGCTCCAACACAACCTCCCTGCTCTTACAATCTATGACACGACTAATAAAGGCAAGTGTCCCATATGTGTTAAGTACCCTATTAACCTGTCCTGCCATCTTCATCTTGCTGTTCCATCCTTTTCTTTAGTTTTCTATTGTTGCCTCAATCATGGTGGGTGGCCCAGTGTTTATTTTGGGTGAAGCTTCCCCCAGGCAGGGTTGAATTGCTTCTTAACCTGATCCCAGTATTCTACGTGGAAAAGTCACATCGTTGCCTACTTGAAGCAGGCCACCAGCTGGATGGCAGTTTATTACAGTCGAGGTCAACAGCCACTCTCCAAACCATTAAACAACCAAAACAGTAGGCTCCCTCCTTGTGTGCAATAAATTTGAGAATCCAGCAAAAATCTCCTTGCTGAAAGAGCCATTGGTGGGCTTAGACATGGAGGAAATAGGGAGATGGGAATTAACAACTTTGCATATTGTGAAATTGCAACCCAATACAAAAGTTTGAAAACACCTGTCAACAGATTTAAGAACAGCTTCTTCCTGCTGTTATCAGACCTTTGAAAGGACCTTTCATATTCTAAAGTTAATCTTTCTCTGCACCTTCTCTGCAGTTGTAATGCTATATTCTGCATTGTGTTCTATTACCTTGACGTTCTTATGTAAGATATGAATTGCCTGGATAGCACACAAAACGACAGTTTTCACTGTATCTCGGTATATCTGATGATAATAAAGCCAAATTGAATCTTCAAGGCTACGCAAAGCTATCTCTGTAAACTCCCTCAATTCTATAACTCTGTGAATCTCTGCTCACCTCCAATTCCAGCCTCTCATGCATTCCAATTTTTATTGCTCTCCACCTGGTGGCCATGCTTTCAGCCTTCTTGGGGCACATGCACTGGAATTTCCTCTTTTCACCTCTTTGCTCCTCTTTCTATTCCTTCTTTAATAGGTTTGCTAAAAACCTACATCCTTGGTCAAGGTTGTGGTCACCTCTCTTCCTATCTCTCCTTGTGTCTTGGTGCCATTACTGCGAGGCATCTTGGGATGTTTCACTGGTCTGAAGCTGCTATATAAATGAGAGTTGATGATTTTAAGATGTAGGTACGAGTGGAATTATGATGATTTTCTTTCATTGAGACAAACTGTACCTTTATCTCTCAGGGGCTTTATCATGTCACTCTCCAATACAGAACAAAGCATCAAATGCTTCAATGCAGGAATCTCGTCATCATTCCTTGGATCTCTACGCACAGACTGCCTCATGGTAATTCTTCTTCCTGCACTCAAACCTTCAAAAAATTAGATTTTCTCCCTCTTCAAAAACAATTTCTTCCTTGTTCTTTTTTGATCTCCTTCACAAAGAATCCAAAAACCCACCCCCAGCCACAGAATTATTGCTGGGCCTTAGTTGTCATCCATTTTTGTTGGTGAGGTGGTGATTGTTCATGTGTAGCTTTTGCAAAATGGGTCTCAGTACACACAGTTCTCTGGCAGGGACCACTTGCACTGATCAGGACTCAGAGTGGGAGTAACATGTAACATTCCAGTAAAGGAAGCACCTCATCTTCAGCAGGCATTACTGATGTAGCAGCTGTAATCATAATAACAGCAGTAATCACTGAACCCAGACTATGTGCAAGTCTGAGATCTTACAGCAATGTAAATAGTTAGCGTTGTTAATAAACTTTAAGACATCTGTCTCAACAACAACATATGCACCTAGAAACCATATTATAGCCCAGCAATGTGACACATTTGATCAGCTAATGTCCCTCAGGCTAAGAACCAAACCTGGTGCCTTCTATCGGAAAGAACACAAATTGATCTTTTGAATGATTTGTTTTCTTCATGCATTAATATTTTTTGAAGAAGTCCTGCTGATATTTACATTGAAGAGTCTCCTTTTCCCTTCCCTATACTGCCAAAATCACATCACCCACCAGCCCACAGCAAAATCGCCATGAGATATCTGTTTCCCTCTTTAAGTCAGGTGTGATTCACATTTCCACGGAATGTCTTGTACAACATCTGAAGGGATGAAGGAAGAGAGATGGGCTCTTAACAAATCCCAAGAGTAACATATCTCTGAATACGCTACAAGTAAAATCCATCAAAGTTGATGGTATATGTCAGTTGAAAAGGTATTTAGATTAATCTCTAGGGAAGAGGAAAGCAAGAGATATGGTGAGAAAAAGGTTCAATGGTGTTGATCGACAAGTCTTTTTCAGTCCCGAAAATTGTTCTGTCCTAGTTTAGGTGCGGAATTATTAATCATGCATAATGCTACAATGTAACTTAAGTGAAAGATCTCAGGATTGATAGACAAGTGTGAGGTTGTCCTTGAATCCATTTGAATTTCGCTTTGATGGAGGGAATATTTGCAGGATTTTAATTTTAATTCATTGTGTGTGGGTCTCATGTTCCAGTGTCTCCTGCAGTAAGTTCAGTAAGAGACTAACTCAGTCTTCAAACAATAGCATTGAATAGCTGTTGTCAGCCATTTAGCCCACCTTGTCGGGATCCTATCAATCTCTGACCAATGAGGCTGTAGTTTTTCAGTCAGCTGGGAAATGTTAAATGCACGAACTAGTGGATGTACGGTCAGCAGCGAAGAGGAGGTAGGGGCTGAAGCCGAGCGAGCGGCAGCAAAGCCTGCTCTGCCCAATGGAGGTCAGCAGTGGTGTTGGTGGTCAAAGTGGCTGGTGACCGAAGGCAGCCCTTAGCCCAGCGTGGGTGAAAGCCTGCCCAGCCATGGGGAGAGTGAGCCCTCTTGGGGAAAGTCCAGCTAGGAGCATTTGCAGGCCCATGGCTTAAGAAAGGACCGTAATGTTTGACTTTTTAACTTTACTTCTTTATTTTTCCGCTTTTATACTAAGAAGATTGTCGTGGTGAACTTTTTAACTTATTTCTTTATTTTTCTACTTCTGTAACTAAGATATTGTACCTGGGTACTTTGTCCCTAAGATGGAGCCATGTGTGGCGACATTGTACACTTTTCACTGTACTCTTGTACCCTGTCCTTGAGTACATGTGACAATAAAACCTAAATCTAAATCTATCTAAATCTAAATGTACGGACTCCTAAGGGAAAAGGCTGAGATGTATTTGTGTTCACAGCAGCTTGTGTCAGCTTTGGTTCATTGCATTGTATTCTGACATTCCACTCCAGCCACTTGAACATAGAGTCTATGTTGAATCAGAGATAGTAGGAACTGCAGATGCTGGAGAATCCGAGACAACAAGGTGCAGGGCTGGATGAACACAGCAGGCCAAGCAGCATCATAGGAGCAGAGAGGCTGACGTTTCGGGCCT